AATATATATATATTTTTAATTTACAAAACTAAACAGCCTGCAGTATTTTTACAGTCTTTATTTTACAGTTAAAATAAATGTTTATCAAATAAAGTTTAATGTTACAACTAATCAGGGATCCCTTTAAGCAGCATTTGTGGGTGGCACCTGTGTTTACAGACGATGATTTTTGGAACAGTCTAGTGAAGTCCAGAACACAATCAGACCAGTCTTCCCAATTTTTCATTAAAAAACATTATCTTAACACATTATACCGTGATTTTTACATAGTTTGTTTTGGAGTGGTGAACCTCTTCACTTCAGGGATTCAGCCTCTTAAATGAGCTTTTTATAATGAGTCCTATTACTGACCTGTCAACCTAATTAGCTGCAAAATGTTCCTCTGGTTGTATTTATTGTATCATTTACAGTACTTTTAGGTTGTTGTTGACTCTGTCCCAAATTTTTTTTAAATGTTTTGCTGCCGTCAGTTGTTAAAATTACTTCTTTTTTTCCCTAGAAGTGGTTTAATTTAAAAGTTTGATGTTACTTAGTTCTGTTGGGAATAAAATATAGGTTTATGATATTTGCAAATAGTTGCACTTATTAACATTTTAAACAAAACTGCAGCTTTTTGGGGATTGTGGTTGTATATGTACAGTATATCTTATTATATTTTCCTTTTTTTTCTTCTCTGCAGTATTTTGATCAGATCTGAGTTTCTTACCGAGAAGAAGTCGCTGAACAGCTGCGAGATGCTGGAGAAGGCCGCCTGGTGGCTCTCGTTCTGCGGCAGACAGCAGCACAGCAGCCGCAGCCGACACTCCCACACTTTGGTGGCCAGSGTGCGAGCAGTGACCAGGAACTGGGAGCCCCCGCTGCTCTCCAGGTGCCGCACCCCCAGCGGCTCCACGGGGCCGGGCTGAGGACGGGGGTTTCCCAGTGGATCGAAGACGAAAACTACACCCAACCCCGTGAACAGCAGTATGATCCAGCTGGTGTAAAGGAGAAAGGAGCGGGTAAGATCGAAGCTCATCGTCCGTCCGCTGGAAATTCAAACAAGACGCGTACAAATACCCACCTCGCGATCACGGCAGCAATGACCGAGCCCACGGTGGCTGGGTCGCAACCTCGGCCATCGTCAGACACCCAGAAAGCTCCCAGRCAGGCCCACACCAGCTCAGGAATGTAAAGGAGAGCTCGCAGGTACACCAGCATAGGCATGGAGCGCCGCGCACCCGTGTTCGTTATCGTGCCTGATGAGAAAACAGAGAAATATTAGTAAAATCTACAGAAACACGACACAGGAGTAGACACGCCGTTATTGGCTCCAAAATGAGGAAAAAGTCCAGCATTACAAAACCTGCCTTGTTTTGACATTATTTAATCCAACTTTCAAAAGGAAATGAATCACTCAGAATGAAGTTTACAACAAGATAAACATGTACTGACAGTGATCCTGTTTGGCCACATGCCATACATCCACACACTCACACCAACTGCCTGGTGGAGGAGAGCAGTAGGGTTGGGCATAATCGTATCGTGTGCAATTAATCGTCAGAAAAACATTAATCGATTATTTTTGGCACTTGACAATTAATACGATTAATGCCACCAGGCAGACTGACTGGAGATTTCCCTTGTCAGTCTGCTTCAAAAATGAGAAACATTAATTTCTGTAATTTATTTATCATAACTCAGTTTTTACTTGGTCTATCAACACAATTTAAAAATTTGATTCATAGCCTGAAGTCTGTACTTTTGACATGATTTGGAACAGATTTTTTGATGAGAGTGGTTTTTAAATTGTTCATGTGACCAGGACATGAGGGCGTCCAGGTACTCGTCAAATTAGTCGTTATCGGCTAAATTACCACAATAAATCGTGATTAATTTTTTTGCCAATATTGCCCAACCCAAGAGAGCAGAGGTGATTACCCTGCAGTTTGTAACTACTAAAGTCAAATGTGAGGTCATCTATCATACAAAAAGTCAACACAAGGCATGCCCAGACCTCAGTCTGTATTAAGGAWCTTCAGATATCTGTGTGCACAAACAGATTTTTAGCAAACCCTAAAACTCCTCTTCATTGGACCGTTTCTCAGATGCTGTTTGGCGCCACCTACCGGATATGATGTGCAACTGTTTGTGTTTTTGTGTGTTTTGTTTGTGGAGAGAGAACTCAACCATGGGCAGGTTCTCAAAATTTACCACCTTCTAATGAGAAAAAGGACATACTTATCCAGGGATTGGTGCCTAAAATAGCAATCTGGAGATGCAAAATAGATGTCCCGTTATACTGTTATAATTTAACTATTATATAAATACAATTTATTAAATACTATAGTTTCACACAATATCAAATCTGTTGCCAGAGAAAATACAGGTATACAGTGATCGTATGAACAACATTATCACCAGTGGGGCTCAGTCATAAACACCTTTAAACTTGAGGCAGGCTGACCTATGGTTCATTACATGCTGAGTATAAAACGTATTTCTTGGCCACAGAYCATTTTAATAGTTCATTTATGTGTTTTAATGGTGCTAAGTGCATTAGTTTTTTGTCTGTAAATGTCTGTTTGGTGTAAGTTATTATTAATAAATGAACTACATCAATTTATATACATGTGTTCAAGTTTGAAGATAATCCATACCTATCTTTTGTAATATTAAGTGCCCAAATTGATCTGTCGGCGTCAAACATGACACAAGATGTCTGTAAACATATCGTAGAATCAGACCTGTACTATCATACTGAACCTTGGTGCGACAAGTTTTCATTATTCCTTCTTRACTGTTCATGTATCTACGATCACTGTTGCACATAAACACAGCACAGCGATCAACACAGCCCATTTTCACACATGMTGGATGCCCCCAAACTGGACCACGATGCTTTGCAATTGGCAACACGTTTTTTTTTTCTTTAGAAAAATGACACAGTGTAAGAGGTTATGCAGTGGTTGCTCTTTGGAGATTTCATGTGTAGCTTTAGGGTCAGGATTTGAACTGAGTGGCTGTAAATATGTGTGTACAGCAGCACCAATACACATTACTGCATTAGACAATTTGACATCGCATAAAAATGTGTTTTCTTTCAACTTGTGATCACATATTAAAGTGGAAGAACTTCAGAGTAAAAATAGTTACCTTGAGCGCTCACATACACGATGGCACACAGTGACAGGATGATGAGCCCCAGCACAACTAGCAGTCCCACCAGGTAGCTGTGTAAAACCAGTCTCCCGTTACAATCAAAATGACCCTTGTGGTAAACGAGCAAGATCATAGTTCCAATCCACCTAGAAACAAACAACATGAAAAAACACAGCTGAGTAAGAGAATTACAGCTTCGCGAAACTGATAAAAGTGGAGAACAAACCAGATCAAACGTAGAAACAACTCAAAGGTGCCCGGGAACACTAGATCATCACTGGCGATCCCCCACCGCCGTCCAAACACCACCATTCCGGGCATTTTGCAGGTAAACAGGTGGAAATCCTTCTCTTAGGCTAACCGAGTCTGTCTGTTCGCAACTAAAACACAACCAGGGCTGTGCTGAGCAACATGGTCGGGCATTACTTCACCACCAAATCAACGCCTACACCCATTTATTGACGATAATCGCGATCACATTACTGTGTTGCGAAATTTCCGTGTCCTTTTTTTCTTTCTCGAACGCGAACAGTGAAACTGACTCTTAAAACCTGCTTATACTAAATTTAAAACTACATAAACTATAACCACAGAGTCGCATTGATATTGTTGAGGCTTCCCATCTGCTAGCACGTACCTAACGGACAGCTAACAAAAACGTACAGCTGCGTTAGCCACCTGCTAGCTGGCTATAGCTATGTTGTTAAAAATATCGTATTTTTTTCTATAAAAAGACGATAGATTCCGTGACTGCCAACACGTTTTTCAGTATAAATAATGGTAATTTTCAGTAAATGCTACAAATGAAAACACTTTCGTTTTCGTGTCCGTCTATAAAATGTCCCCTGACCGAAACAAAATTTATAGAGCACAAGTTCCGGTCTTATTACGGTTGTGGACTTTAGCTGGTGGTGGCTAAATAAAAACAATTAAAATACACAACTTGTTTTATAATAAGAATTCAAATCAAAGTTTTTAATGGGAACTTCCAGACAATGCCTAAATTTGCGGTCACTGTCTAATTATGCTTTTGAAAACCCAGAAACCTCCAAAATTACTAGTACTAGAATCTAAACTGCTAATTGATAAAACTAACAATAAAGCAATGGTAACACACACACACACACACACACACACACACACACACAC